GTTATCAGTGAGGCTATGTCAATTTGACCAGCTGAGGATCTGGATCTCTAAAGTGTCTGTGTTTCCTTGTTAAACAAACAAACAAAAAAATGCCGAGACCTAAGACCCTCGCTGAAAACATGTTACCTTTGAATACTGGCACTTGTAAAAGCGATGACAGATGGATAACGTACTACTGAGTTAGTTAATTTTCTGTTGATTTCCAAAGCGTTTGGTTTTCTGGTTTTCTACTTTCATAAATGTGCTAGTCCCCATTAGTCAACTAGTTGATTATTTTAAGAGTAGCAGAAATATTTATTTCTTAGAGATAACATGAGAAACTAAGCCACAACATGGGGAGGTAATCTGTCTAATATGAAGCATTACCCTTTGGGATGAGACTAAGACTGCAATTATACCAAAATGTCAATGTACAAAGAGTCAGAAAGTCTAAGCATAGTAAGAACATTCTTCTGATGTCACAAGGAAGAAAAATGATAATATACTGTTGTTTCCACAGCCTCCTGTGTTGTACGAGATGCTACTGGGAACGTCAATGATACAGTTGTATCTGGAATGAGCTGCAATGGATCATCTGCCTGCACCCTAGGCTATGATTTTTCCAGATGCAGAAATCAGCCATGTGATTATGGGCTGATGAATAATTTCCAGGTTTTAATGAGATAATATGTATAATCATAAGCAATACATGAATGCATAAATATAAACAAGCAAAAACTTTGTTTGCCGACAACTAACTACAACAGGACATCCACTTTTGTCTAAAAAGCCAAAAACTATAGGAATAATCAAAGGAAAAAGTCCCCTGCGTTCCTTGTTACCTTCACACAACCTACCAGTAACCCTATCAGCATTCTAAGGCCTTTACTTCCTCTTTCCTCAAGTACCATGCGACAGTATATGCTGTAGCATCTTCAAATTCCTAACATAGACTTAACAGAGACCTCAGGAACCCTTGTCAGATGAGCAGCTCATGTAACTGTTCCTTACACAAGGATGTGATTTTACCTTAAGGGCTACGTTTGCTGTTAAGGGTTTGTGCCATAGTACTGAAACCAGAGTAATTCTTCTTGAAAAATGTATCCAAAAATAGTCAACTGAAAATCAAGTGAAAAAGTGAAGAGGTCTTTCTCCTAAGCCAGAGAGAGACTATCTACCGCTTTTATTCTTCAACAGAAAGCTTAGGCAAAGCATCAAAGTAAAGTAGTTCTTCTGCAGCCTCATGACCACAGCTCCCAGATGTCTTTTCAGGTCCCGCTGCTTCAGAGCCCACTAGAGGAGCTCCCCACCCACCTGCAGTTTCTTTTTAATTAGCCAGTTGTAGCTTTCAAAGTCACTTGCTTTTTCCCCAGCTGGCTCTGCTAAATGACAGGGCTGGCTCACAGCCTTTAAAGGATAAGCTGCCCTTGTCACAGACTTCTTTTATATCCTTTCTTGATTGTCTGCCATCCTCACCCCCACCTAAGTTAGGCTGTCCAGAGCCAGGGCAACCCTTAAAATCAATGACCTCATGAAAGCCGTCAATATAGTTTCATTTCTTGCATTTATCCTTGACAGACTAAAGTCAGAAAAAAATACGTCTTCACCTGATAAATCTCCAGGATTAAGTGGTCTTTCTCCTGGAGTACTTCCTACATACCGAGCATCTGGCAATCACATCCATCCACTTCATATTTTAGCTTCTTTATCTGGTGCTTCCTAACTTATCAGTGCTTTCTTTTCGGTAGCTGCAGAGGCCAGTAATAGCCCTCTGGGAGGGCTGAGGGAGGCCTGATGGGGCCTGACTTTACTGTCTGTGGCACTGCTGTTGTGCCAGCACAATCAGACATTCTCTATCTTTTTCAGCCATATTAATAATAACAAGAAAAAAGAAAGTGCCTCTGACCATATTTAGCTATTTGGCGCTCTTTTCTGCAGTTTTCATTGTCCCCTGTTGCTAAAGCTGACTGTTTACCCATCAAGTAGAGCCTGTTACTTAGAGCCACCACTTAGTAAAGGAGGGGAGAAAATTTCACAGAGTACTTGTTTGCTTCAGCAGACAGCTGAATATTTGTGTAAAAATTTGGCAGTGCATCAGTTGCTTTCCACTAAAACAGGAATAATAGTATTGCCCTACCTCACAGTTCATTTGTGGTGAACTGAATTTAGGACTGTGAAAAGCTGAGACACTGTAGTAACAGAGGACTTAAATGAGTCCATGATCAAAAAGTGTATCCAAGTGCAAGTCTGACTCCTCATTCTTCCTTCTTCTTTCTAAAGGTGATGAGCATGGTGTCCGGCTTTGGTCCTCTCATCACAGCAGGCATCTTTTCCGCTACACTCTCATCAGCTCTGGCATCTCTTGTCAGTGCACCCAAAGTTTTCCAGGTAAATATTTTCCTTATATTTTACTTCAAAGACATATCGTTTGATTGAACTCCATATGCCAAATGTGATATATATTCCAACAGCACTTACGTATATGGGATGAAGAGGTAGGGAAAACAGTACATAGAATATTTCTCTGCAGAAATAGGCAGGTCCTATCACCCTCATACAGAACTAAGCACTTAGGATCATAATATTCCTTTGCTCAGAGCTCAGCTTTGCTGCAGGAGCAGGGGATGTGTGTTTGTTATAGACAGCCTCAAGGTTTCTCTCAAGACCACTTGTATCTCCTCACAGCAAGCCAGCCTGTAAGCTCAGGAAAGTCAGGAGCATGCAGGAGCCCTCATGACTAAGCAGCCCATTAAATTCATGTGTTGCCAGATGTGCTCAAAGAGATCTGGGCAGCAGCAGTGGGGACAGAATGGGAACGGAGAGCATGGGAGAGAAAGATAACTTGCACATCTTACAAAAGCTACTGATTCGTGCTTCAGTTTCCTCCAATTTAGATTTTTCTTAAAGGTTATTTTAAAGCACTGAATTAAATGCCTGTGGTTTTGTTTTGCTGCTATATAAGAAGATAGTAGGATATCAGCTTTCAACTTATTCAAATGCTTGCGTGCTGTAGCAGTAGACATATTTGCAGTACTAAGATAGACTTAATTTTTGTTTAGCAAAAGCTAGCAAGCCACCACTCACAGAGAGTGACCTTCTGATGCAAAAAAGCGTTGCTTAACAGGACTAAGTTTTGATTTGTCTTCCAGGCTCTTTGCAAGGATAACGTCTACAAAGCACTCCACTTCTTTGCCAAGGGATATGGGAAAAACAACGAGCCTATCAGAGGATATGTTCTCACTTTTGTGATTGCTATGGCATTCATTTTGATTGGTTTGTATACAATTTATACACCTGCTATAAGCTGATATTTTAAATTATATGATCTGGTATGTTTACACAATTCTTAGCTTACGGTAAGAACAATCTCCATTTAGGTCAACTATGCTATGAGTCCAAGCACACTGAAAGTACTGAAAGCAATTCCATTATTCTCAAAGAAAGCGAAAAGAAACAAACAGGGACTCTGGTAATGTCTTAATGCCACGATAGCCAGATTTTCAAAGATGCTAAGTAAGTGCAATACCTGTTCACTTCTCTGAGACAGAGCAGTGCTTGAAAGCAGATCAAATAAGTTAGTCACCTACTCTGAAAATGTTTTTCCAGTTTATATGGCATATAGCTCTGAGGTAATTCTGAGACAATTAGGATGCATTATCTGCTAATTATCTGCATTAATGCCAAATCTACATTATCTTCTCCACAGCCAATTCCAAAGCAATTCCCAAATTGCTAGCATGGATGGTAGAAAATCCCAGCTACCACAGTTAGTGCATCATCACTACCGGCAACAGTTTGGGACTGTTGGGATTTTTCAATTAGTTCTTCCAAGATTTCAAATGCAAACTGTGTAACACTGTCAATAAATGAGTAGTTTAGTGGAGAGAATTCAGATTGCCATTTAAAAAGCAAAATAATAACATTTAACAGTAAGTTTTAAAGCAATCTATCTGTCCTCTCAATTATACATTTAGAATTCTGAAATTTACAGTGCTTCTACATCATTAATAGCCAATCTGTAGAATCACAATATCAACTATAACTGCATTTGCATGTATTTGTGCAAATGTCTGACTTGTGTGTCTTGCAGCTGAACTGAACACCATTGCTCCCATCATCTCCAATTTCTTCCTGGCTTCATACGCTTTGATTAATTTCTCCTGCTTTCATGCATCATATGCAAAATCTCCAGGTGAGTCTGCATTTTCCAGTGATTTAAATGGGGGCTTCACAGCCTGGTCTCAGCAAGTTTTTGACTGTCTGTCAGAGAAAGCTTCAGTGCCTATAAAATACCTAAACCACGTGATCATCCTTGAATATGATGATGCATTTTATTTATCTCCAAAAGATAAAACCAATGACTCTAGTCCTTGTATTCCTTCTATACATCTGTATAGCATGAAAAAGACTTCAGTGGATCCCACTGGAGCAGGAAAGCTCCTCCTTAGGATGTTTTTTTCCTATCATCCAACACAGGTGGGTAAAAAACAATGCTACCTCTGGCCATATAAAGTAAGCGAAGTGTGGTGGTGGGGCTGTTATGCCCCTCCACCCCCAAATCTGCACTGAAATTTGCAGGAAGTTAATAAGCAGTAATTGTGCTCAAAGTGATACTCCCCATAAGATAACATGTAGATCAACAACAGGTCCACAAAACAGTATCAGCACAGCCTGCAGGGGCTAATGGCAACTGTAAGGTGGAGCACAATGAGGCCCTGTACAAGGATAACTCGAGAGAGGTGCCCCTCTCACCACCATTGAATTGTGGATTCAATACAGGAATAATATCTTTTTAAAGTCAACTGCAAATGACTTTTTTTGTTTTTCTGCAGTGAGGCCAGGCAAAGTTTAAAAGACAGCTGTACTTTAGCATATACTCTCCCCTCAGCAAGTGCTTAGCTCCTGCTAACAACTTCTACATATATGCATTGAAAGGACATAATAGCCTATTACTTGAAGCTAAAGGAAAACTTATTTTCAGTTCTGAACCACTGCAGTCTGATTGGGCAAAACTACGTATAAACAGACCGACTATTCAAAGCCAGGCTGGACAAAACAATAGAAAAGGGATTACAGTGAAAGGCTTGTAAGATCTAATACTCAGTATTTATAGAAATCTGCATCAGCCGATACTCGAAAGTATCTGCTGATATCCACAGTGCCTCAGAGTTTGCACGTACCCCTCCCACCCCTTCTGACAGAGCCTGAAACAAATTGCACATGGGTCTGTACGAGCAAATGGTGATCCACTGATTTTGCATAACAGATTTTCTGCTCCTCCAATTTTCTCAATTCTCATTTAAACAGGTTGGAGACCTGCATTCAGATATTATAACATGTGGGTGTCACTTTTTGGAGCCTTGTTGTGCTGTGCTGTCATGTTTGTCATCAACTGGTGGGCAGCTCTCATCACTTATGCCATTGAGCTCTTCTTATATATTTATGTAACATATAAGAAACCAGGTAAGGCCGGAAGACACTGCTATTTTATGTATATGATACAGAACCACTGTGGACTTTACATGTGTTCCTAAATCTGTTGCTTAAAGAATTAGACGTTCCTTTTTCTGCATAGACTTTCTCTAAAGGGAAGCCTAGAGGATCACAGAATCTCATTAAATCTCACTTTATGTACAGATTAAGGCAATAGGCTGGTGTATTTTTGCCTGTTTAAGAAGCACTTCAAACAGAGTCCAGGACTTTGTTTACACCTGTTAGCGCACCAGTTTATTCCCATCACGTCTTTACTACAAATTAATCTGGTCTTTCACTTGAGTATCACTTGTAATTTTTCTCCATCTACACATCAAACCTTACCTGAATTTTAGTATGCTCTTAGCTGGCTCATCTGGGGTGTTCACTCAAAATGGCAACTTGCTGCCTACTGCCTACAACAAAAATGCAAGCTAAATTACTTGTGAACTGACCATCCTCCAGCACCTCCCTACTACTCTTCAGTAAGTCAAGAAGGACAAGTACATCTTACTGTAGGAAAAAATAGCTCAGCAAACCACAGGAGCTGTTCCTAGAAATCCCTATGAGCTGTCTTTAGAAATCTGTGTGCTAATACAATATAGCACCAGTATGAGACTTTGCAGTCTGATTATTCATACCTGGGACAAAAGTAACCCAGGTCACGACTTCACTGCCAACCATCTCAGTTAGTTCTGCAGCAGAAAGAAAATACAAACAGAAGAGAGGCAAGCTCCCCAGCATAGGATTTGATTTCAATGCAGCTGGCTTGGGACAGCAGCACCTGCTCTGAGCCTCTGTTCCTTCTCTATGTATACTATAGTAATGCTGCATGTCCTCCCTCTTTCTGTGCTCCCACATGCACTGGGATGTTCTGTGGTTCTCCCCCTGTTAATGTTGTCAGTTGTAGGAGAATGTGCCTGTCTTTCAAAAGAAAGTTGTCAGAAACTGTCAGTCCTCAGCATTTGAGGACCGTTAGCCTTTGCCTAGTATATTGCCAATGTCCTTGTTGCAAAGTAGCAGCATAATGCCTGGTTAAATTCACTGAAGACATTGTACAAAAGCTCTCTCCCACTCTCCAAAATAGTGACTTCTGTTCAGCACTTATTTACCAGCAACTGAGGGGTCCAAGTTTAAAGGATATGCTTCTCCTTCCAGATTTACTGCAGGATTCTTCAGAGCAAGATTGACAGGCTACCTTACAAAAGGCTTCTGGGGAACTACTCTAGTATAGCTTCTGCCCTCTTCAAGTCCTGAAAGTGCGCTATTGTCTCCTCTTGCTGTTATGGGGGACTAATGTTTCCCTTCTTCCAGTTGGGTGGATATAGGCATTTTTTGCCTCATTTTATTTCCCAAAATCTTGTATGCATTAAGAATTCAATGGCAAAACCCAGCCTACTGGATACAGAACTGCCCCTTGGAAGCTACCTTTAATACTAGTTCTATTATGGATTGAATATCTTTGGGTTTATATTAAAGTGAGATCTGTATGACAGGTTGGCATAAGCAGAAAGAATGATATAAACACATTTGAACATTGCACAGGAATTCTTCTGCAGAAGGTGTTCTTCATCTCAAAAATGTTAGTCCTCTGAAGCGAAGGGACTGGCACAGTAAGGATTTAACAGCCAAACTAACTAACGTGAAGCTGATCTGAATGCCCTAGTTCGGCATGTACTTTAATGTCAAATATCTTATTAAAAGAAAAAAGTATTATTCCATTCATTAGCACTAGCAACATTCCTTCCTAATGCTTTAATCTGAACTTGCTGAAGTTCCACACCAAATGCATTACTCGGGGTGTCTGTTTTATACATAGGAGAAGGGTACAAAGCTAATGAAACAGAAAGGAAAACACTCCTTAAGCAGAGGAAGAATATCCCCTGCACTTTTTCACAGAAAGAATGAGACAGGATTTATTTGTATGTTTGTGTTTGCATTACACCAACCAAACATATTCTATTCCTATGAAGCATGAAGAATGACAGATCTGCACCTATGAAGCATGAGAGAGTATACTGTGCTTTGGCTCATAGGTTACTTGATTGCTGACTTTTGTAACCTTTGTGACCTTTGGTTTAACGTGCATTATTTATCTTTATTATATGCAGAAGTAAATTGGGGCTCTTCTGCACAGGCTCTTTACTATGTTAATGCCTTGGACAGCGCTCTGGCATTAACTACGGTGGAAGATCACGTGAAAAACTTCAGGTAAGATTTCCAGTGAGCAATAGAATGACTTATTCAGAATAAAAATATTATCCAACTAAACGTAACCTCCTTTTTCCTCCTAACAGACCCCAATGCATAGTATTAACAGGAGCTCCCATGATCAGACCTGCTCTGCTAGACATCACACATACTTTCACAAAGAATAACGGACTCTGCATCTGTTGTGAAGTGTATATGGTAAGGTCAACACATACAACCTAACAATTAAGCACCAGCAGGTGCTGCAGATCTCCATTTTACATTCCACTTTCACCTGGCACGCTACGTCCCCATTGGTGCTGACCAGCTTCTGTGCAGACCATGAAAGAGATTTGCACTAAGAATGAATTTTGTTATGAGTCTTGACAAGAAAGCTATCAGCTGATTCACAGCCTGCTGGTAAACGCCTCATTGAGATGCATTTCAGAGTTCATAGTAGATGGACCAAAAAAATGATACAAATTTGAAAAAATAAAGCATTATAAGGAAAGGTGTTTTTTTTTTTTTTTAAGGATACAGCAAGGCTGAAAAAAATGAAGGAGGCAGAGTACTTTCAGGAGTACAGCACAAGAGTCAAATTACGTAAGCTCTATTTCCAGCTTTGTCACTGATTTGCAGTGTTGGGGTTGGGAAGTATTTCAGCTCTGTGTGCAGTGGTTTCTCAAAAATCATAGTAATGCTAATTTTGAGGATAAGACATGCTCTTCTGAGATCTTCTAAAGAGAGGAGCAAAGTGTATTTTTAGTTATAAATATTCAGGAAATTATGTATTTTAAAGGATAAAGATAGTCTTTCCTGAGGACAGAACAAAAACAGATGCACTTGTAGTGTAGAGGAAAAAAAGTAGTTTAAATATTACAACAACATTTTAATTTTGAGAGGGGGGAAAAAGGACTCATGGCACCAATAGGGGCTGCAGAATCTAACTAAAAAAATGAGTCCAGTCAAGATAATGCATTCCTCTACATGAGCGTAAGAATAATTCATTTGCTGCTGCCATGTTGCAGAAAGGGAGTATATGAGATCTACGTGTGCTCCCTTCTAAATCAAATAAATCTATAAAGAGTGAACGACCCTAATCCTCTCTACTGCAATTAACAGGAGCTTTGCCACTGCACTCAGTAAGCACAGAATCAATACCTACAAGATCCTGGGACAAGGCAGCTTCATAAAGTTAAATTTCAGCAAGTTTTCTGAATTATTAGGCACGTTTCTCTAATATTTTCACTTTCCATTTACCATTTGAGATTTGATTTCAGTCTATAAAAAGCCTCAATCTATTGTGCTAGTGTAAGCATTTTCATTGTTTTTTTTTAATTATTTCTCCAGCAGTTTAAGCTAAATTTAATTTAGTTGGTAATAAAAGCACAGCAAAATGAACTTTTGTGATTTCTAAAACTGTGGCAACAAGCTGATGAAAAAATAGCTATATGTGGTCAGTAGGAATGTCATAATGTCAACAGAGAGCACTTATAACTAGTTTGCTGCTGCAGTACAAACTGTTGAGCTTATGCGCATAAGCTTCTGTACAAAGAGAGCCATGACTAGGAATCCAGGCACCATGTTGAAGAACAGCCTACAGTGTATGTCATAACAAATACTGCAAGACTACTTAGCCATTAATGTAACACCCAACATGTTTTGCCTCAGAGGCTGACATGCCATGAGCTATGCACAAAGTTTTGGGACACTATGCCAGAGAGAGTATCTTCTGTTCCCTTTTCCCAAAGGGGAGCAAGAAACTTTCAGGGAATGTGGTGATGGGTAGTTCAGAGATGGGAAATAAATTTGCCAACTGAACATAAAGATGGTTTAAAGCTGTTTGTCTCTAAGGCTTTTTTTGCATTTTGCCTTGAGCAGTCTGAGTCACCAGTCAGAAGGGCAATTCTGCTTTTACTCCCTGCGTTCACATAAAATATTTTTTGCACAGCTAGTTTCCATCCAGTCTGCAAATTCACTGAACTCATTGTACAATTGCACAAACATTAACTTGATTACAAAAGCATGAGCAGGAGCGTGGGACTGTCCCCTTGGACAGCAGAAGCACCTTACACAGTGCAAGCCAGTTGTGAAACTATATCCTTAGAGACTCTCCTTGGAGAGAAGGGAAGAAGGGTTAGACTTTCTTTTTTTTTTAGTAGGACATACCCACAAAGAAACTTCAACTCTATTGTTCAGCTTATTATTCCCAAGTTTTCACCCTACTCTTCCAACTATCGGGATCAAACTCTTAAGTTAAATCCATTAAATCCAAGCAAACACCAGTGAATTTACTATCACCCCAGAAAGCAGCATGATCACAGTAAAGAAATATCACACAGACTCTCGCATCCTTTTTCTTGTTCTCCCCAGCCAAGTAGCCATAAGGAGGTAAAAAATGCGTGTCAGGGACAATACTTGGGCTAGCATCAACCCAGCCTACTTTTGATCAGACCAAAACTCATTAATTTTTTTAAATTATAATGAAAAATGTGCAAATAAAAATATGACATGTAGAATCTGCCAGATGATTTCACAGCTTCTCCCTCAATGCTATTTTTTGTTTTTTAGAGGGAACTAGATGGAAATTTTATTTAAGGCCTTTTCCATCAGCCAATGTCAATTCACTAAAACTAAATGTATTGCAGTTATTTCTATGTCTATATAAATGCATCTCATTTTCTTCTAGGAAGGCAAAAGAGAGTTTCAGTAAGGCTGAAAAGTTCTGAGAGAAGGACATTTTGGTTTTACATTGAAAATTATCTTTTAGAAATTGACTTTGAATTAAGTGATCCCTCTTATGCATTTCATTTTGGAGATAATTTCTTTCAGTTTGGGTTTTTACACTGTTCTTGAAAAGGAAATAAATTTTGAACTATGGAAAAAATCCAGCTCTCCCTCAACTCTGTTTTAACACCAATTTCTTAGCTTAGCAGAAGCTACCATATACTAACTTCAAAAGTGGAAGTTTTTAAGTATGAATTTTGAAATACAATCTCCTGAGCATGAGTTTACCAAGCCTTCTCTGATTTTATATTGTATGAAATGTTTACTGATTTCTCTAGTTATCTGTTGCTGTACCAAAGCAGCAGCTTACCAGCATCCTCAAAAAAAAAAAAAAAAGAAAAAGAAAAAAGAAAAAGGAGAGAGCAAACAAAGGAATGACTTCTGCATGGGATGAAACTTTGCAGCAAACTAAAGTTGTAACAAACCAGATTGGTACCACTTGTACAGATAGGCACAAGGGAACTTACTTGTTGGATTCCAACTGCTGCCAAGCCAGCTGCCTCTTTCTGGCACATCCAGTTAGTACGTCTGTTTCTGATGCTGTTGGACACGCTCCCGGGGTTTACACTTCTGTCTTCTACTCTTCCTTGGAAAGCAAAGACTACCTGTCCACCCAGTAACACACTAGAAACAGTGTCCAAGACCACCTGAGTGCTCCTCTCTGTGATTCGTTTTGGCTGCAGAAGATCTGGACTTGTAATTTCGCTTCCTAAAAGACAAGGTGAAAGGAAATAAATCAGGCTTAGCAAACCTTAGCATTATAAACTTAGGAGCATAGATCTTTGAAATCCATTACATTCCAGATACATGCTCCCCAAACTTATCTCCACCCTTCCAAAGGCTCGGCTTGCAGCCTTCATGTCTTCTTACTGATAGCTTTTCAACAACATGCCCAGCACATACATTTCCAGGGCAGGCTAGCTGCCTAGAAAGGAATTCAGTAGGATTACTTTCAGGGAGTTTGGTGTGTTGAACATGTGTCTAAACTCTGTTTTGTCCCGACGTGGTCGTTTACTGATTTGTCAGAGAAGCACGTATATTTGCTGCATGTGAATTTTCAAAATGCTAATAGGCATCAGCATTAAACTGTATTCGTAACTAGTGACGTCCCCTGGGACCAGACCTTTTGGGGACACGCTGTCAACTCATGCCCTGCTATGAAGTCGGTATATCATCTGTCTTGTGTCTTGGGTATACAGATGATGGATTTTGTCTAAATAAATTGCCAGATGACCACTGGAAAGACCTGGTGACAAAAGCATTTGCATCTTTAATTGCACAGCAACAACCCTTTTCTCTTATTACTAGCAGATAACAGCTTAATGATCTATATTTAGACCTGCAGAGCCTTACTTATGTAGTCAAGTCAAAGGAGGAGTTTATTCACTCTGAGATGCTTCATCATACCTTTGATGTTTTTCTAAGATGTTACAATACAGAGTAGTCGTTCTTTCTGTCAGAATCACCATATTTAAGTAGCATTAACAGCCTCAGCCCTCTCGAACAGAACATGAATTATGTTAGCAGCACGATTCTTTTCAAAGGGTTGAATCTCTGTGGACTCTTTTTGGAAATGTATTTTTCTGACTCTCTCCACCCGCTCCCACAGCAGACAAGGTAACTCCTTCAAAATCACCCTGTGATGTATAATACAAAGCCTTTTAATAATATTTTACTGTATCATGCAGGGACCACGCAAGCTGTGTGTTAAGGAGATGAACAGTGGCATGGAAAAAAAGCAGGCCTGGCTTACAAAGAACAAAAGAAAAGCCTTTTATGCGGCAGTGGCAGCTGATAGCTTCAGAGATGGAGTCAAAAGTCTCCTTCAAGTAAGTTTTTTGTTTACAGAACACACAGAAGAGTGTTACATCAAAAAATCCCTCCATGTAAAGCATCATTGTTTACTTGTTAAGAAGTCCTACGTATAAATGGAAAATGTTATAAATAGATAGGGGCATCCTGTGGGTACATATGTTGATATTATAGGTTATTTCACAAACAGGTGTGGTTCTGGGCTACAGAATTACCAAACAAGGCAGACTGAGTCTCTCCTAAATGAACAAGAGCCTATTATTTAAAGAGAGGCACCTACAGGGCAACACATGAATGTCTGTGCAGCCAATATTTGGTGCACTTCAAATTAAATCTATCGTGTGGTATTAAATAGTTGAGAATAATTTTGCATTTATTGAAAACTGAAAATGTGTAATAAGCCTATGTTTTTGCAGAGTGAAGGCCATCTAAATGAAAAAAACGTCAGCAGTATTTTTCTATTACTCTAAGATACAGCAGATCGTTTCCAACAGTCCATTTAAAACGGCCTTAATGAAGGTCACAATGAGGCACTGTTTTCATATTTCCCATTTCCCTCTCTCACACATGCATGAACACTTAAATGTATATGGGCTGAGGCAAACTGTGGAGAAAATTCCCGTTCTTTGCACCAAATACACTGTTGAAAAGACATTAGTGCAAGCTAAGATAGTAGGGAATCAACTAAAACACGCTGAGTAATAGTCACCCGCTGGTAGCGTATCAGGGCTCTTAGTATGCTTGCTGAACGGCGGTACAATTGAGTAAGATGCAACGTTAAAAAGGATCCCTTTGTTTTCTCAAAGCCTGACATGGATACTTCCTCTTGGGTTTATGCGTTCTCTCAGTAGGAGTTCCTTCTGATGTTTTTAAGAATTATTATAGTCTGATGATCTCTTCCTTTCCATTACTACTTAAAGATTTTCACCACATTCATCTGCTGGACCACAAATAGTTCCCTTCCAGCAGATGAGAGGATAATCACACTATAACACCCTAAGAACATTTACATTGTTTTGCAAAACAGCTATTCATTTCAATATATACAGTGTGGATGCATCAGCCCTAGCAGGAAAAAACAAATACAATAAGATTCCAATAGTTCTTATCCTTTTTTTTTTTTTTTTTTGCAACTAGTAAAATTTGGCAAATTGTGTAATACCTTGACAACCTATGTACTTGGTCTCCTCCCCATGATTCCTAATATATTGAAGTTTCTATGAAAATTAGATTTGCTGAATTCAGATCTGATAAACTTTACCTTTTTGTTAAAGTTTTAGCATCCAAACCCAGTTTTGGATGCAATCTAACATCTTGAATTTATTCGAGGTCTTATAAACTGTAATTTATCTTTAAAGTATGCTCAGCTAGTTTTGCATAATATTTTGAAAAGAATACAGCAAATCAAACAGCAACCATTTCTAAGGTAAAGGCAAAAGAGTTACTCGTAAGAAGGTATCCATTCTTCCTTCTCTGCATATCTGAGGTGCCTTAAGAGACTTCAAACGCAGTTCATCTATTGGGTATTCCAAATCTGATAAAAGCTTTGTTATTATGTTAAAATAAACATACAAACAGCACTTGAACTCCCTCTTGATTCCAAGTTATTGACCATTTTAATGAGGGCATGTCAGAAGAAATGCAAATGAATGCTAATTTAACAAAACTACATTTCTGTCATCTAAAAATAATTTATAGTTGGGATGATTTAGAGCTAATCTTTCCACTTTCTGCTTGAGTATGGGCATGAAGGGCATTCATGAAATGCAATCTTATTTTAAATGTCTCCAGAACATTACTTTGGTTATCTTTTGCCATTATTTCTCATTTACAGTAAGAGCATGTGTTTTAATATTTATCAAGCAGTGTTTTAATATTGTTAGGCCTCAGGCTTGGGGAGAATGAAACCAAATACCTTGGTGATTGGATTTAAGAAGGACTGGAGAAATGCTACAGCTACGGAAGTTGAGAACTATGTTGGCATTATACAGTAAGTCATAGTTCAGCGTGATCTTTTTTACCCCCTTTAGACTAGATTATAGCATTTCCATACCAAATTTGACGTGTAGAAGCAATGTAAGAAAACACCTAGAGATCTAGATTCACAAGTGCTAGCTCTTGTAGCAGAAGTTTCTGCACATTAAAAAAGCCTCCTTGGCTTCACACACCTAGCAAGGTCTGCTCAGCAAACATCTGGCACTGTCAGAGCTGAGGTGGCTTGACAATGCTACATAAAGGAGCTGCACTGCTCTCAGCAGTGCTTTTGCAGAACTATGTTTTCCCATTTTTTGCAGGCAGAAGCACAGAGAAAAACAACCCTAATATATATACTTAGGGAATATGAGAACATCATGGAATTCTTCTGTTAAGCCAGTGGGACAGAGGAAGAATCTTGCTTCAAATCTCATGTGCGCCTAAGTCTCAGCAGCTCCATGGGCTGGGATTTAGCCAGGAAACAGTCATTTAGAAACAGGCTTCTCATAGATTTTTCTGAAAATTTGCCTGCAAAGTTGCAGCAAGTTAAAGAAGAACAAATCCACCCCAGCTTTTTTATTTCCTCAGAGAAGGTAGACATAATTTCCTAATGACAACCTACTTCCTAAAAGCATTGTCATAAAAGGAAGATCCATTTTACCAAGTCTCTGTTCCCATGCCCAATGGCACCTCTTTTTATGGCGAAAGAAAGTTAGCAGAACTTTGCTTAATCCTGGGCAATACCTCCTATAATTTTACCCAGAGCAGCCCTGTAGATGGCAATAACACCTGCTAGTGAGCACTAACACTTTTATTAATCTGTTCAAGTCAGCTTTCATTGATAAACATGATGTGAAAGAACACCCCTTTGGGGTTTTTTTTGTTTTGTTTTTTTCCTTTTCAGTGATGCATTTGATTTTGAGCTGGGCATGATTATCGTCAGAATTAGCCAAGGATTTGATATATCCCAAGTTCTCCAGGTTCAAGGTATGTAGTGACTAACTAAGGCATGCTATTTAATATCCACACTGGTTACATGCTTAGTTAACAAACTTTTTTCATCCTTGTTTCCAAACCCATCGATTTAGCTACGTCTGTCCTTAGAGATTCCATGACCAAGGAAATTAAATGTAAAGTGTCTGGAAGCTAGAAGTCAATATGCAACTATTTTTAACAATTACTGAAAGGGATATCAACAATTTCAGGTACTGGCTGAAAGGTAGAAGTGAGACATAACAGCAAAATGGCTAGCACAGACTACTTCCCTCTCAGGCCAAGGAGGACTCCTAATGACCTCTTAGAATCACAGTCCGGTATCTGGCACGGTGCCTGGACCTGTAACTTCTACAAGAACTCTTTGCTTCTGCCCTGTAAGTTTCGATCCTGCCCAAAACCCCTGCTGAAGCAGGATGCTCACTGGCAGTAGCAGAAGGAGGGCAAACTTCACAGAATAAGAGGCTCCGCACTCCAGAAAACTCAAGTCTCAAAGCATTTCCAGCACAGCCATGGGCTAAAGCAGTAAAAACATGCAGAGGCACAGTAACCAGTCACCCTGGAACACGTTTCCTCCCTGTTCTTCTTGGAATACCTTCCTCAGTCCACCTACATGAGATCTCTTGGACTGGCGGGAATCAGGGAACTGCCACTTTCTGGACAACCTCTGCGGAATGCTGTGGCCCAGTAAGCTCCCACCTATGTAAAAATGTTAAAACCACAGAAAACATGAGTTCTCCTTTTCATCTCTTTGTTCATTTTTCCTCAGATTAGTGGTGAATATATTAGCAGGGAAGAAAGAATCTTCCACCATACCATGACAGTTCAAGGAGATGTACTATCCTGGTGAAAGGGTAGGGGGAAGTGTGCAGGTAACTGCATCTAAACACAGGGTTTCCAAGATCTACATACAACCATTGCCTTTGTTTTTCCTTCTCCCCTTCAGGACACAAGCGTCTTGCCACTTTCCCAGGGACCCTGGGAAGGGAATGACTCCACATAAAACTCCATCAGAACAACTCTCAAGATTTTCAGTAGGATAATTTTCCCATTTCCCATTAAGCTTGAGCACTTGATGAGACAGATTCAAACTGAACCTGGAGATTACACTTAGTGTCTTGTGTCCTCCCTTCCAGAGAAGCTTTTCATATTATAAATGAATGGGATAAAAATCTACCGACAAGGAACAGAGGCAGTCATAAGAAAGAAGAATGGTGACTCTTTGCTGCCGCCTGCTGTAAATTTGCCTCTCAGCTCTCTCGGCAGCATCCCTGAGACACAGGCTGCTCTCAGGACTGCCAGCGAGAAAACTGGGGAAGAACGTAACTGTCTTAGCTACAGGCTAATTAAAATCAAAATTAACTCCCCATTAAAGAAGATAGATTGTAGGATGGGGCAACCTCCAAAACAAATCACCTTTAAGGATTAAAAGGCTTCAGAAAAGCCTTTAAAAAATAAGGGTAGCTAAATATTTACTTGGCAGACTCCCTCGTAGCTTGATTTGCATTGGGAGCTACAGTGCAGTTCTGCAGGGATTTAAGAAAAAATCCAAACTGATCTCTGCTTTTTCCCCCCTGTTGGTACCTCAAAGAGAATTGCCTACCTCTTTGCATGCTATGTAAGTCAGAAACTGACTGAAATGGGGATCATTGTATTCCATTACCCTCGTTTAAGGGAGAAACTGAAATTTTAGTTTCGAATAGCTATTAAGTCAGTGGCTATCATCACCTCTAATAATCAGAAGCACTGGTTGTCATTGTGGATTCTACATAAAAGAAAAGATAGTAATTGAGAGTGCCAACAGGGCTAATGCCTAGCAGGTGAGGTTTTGTTTTTGTTTTAAATACAATTTCCTAAATGAATTGCCTCACTCTTAGTCCATGTCTCACTCAAATAAAAATTTTCCTTTTGAATAAAGGTTTTGGCAGGAAAATGCCTATATCACACTTATTAGGACCTCACCGTAATACAGTTTGTAACAATATATGGTACCTTTTTCTCAAAAGACGACTAATACTGCCAAGATAGATTTGTTCCTTTGTATTACTGAATTTAAAAAATTGATTAGCTAAATCTTACGTCTTTGTAGCAAATACTGAAAAAAACATTAACACATACTAAAATATTCCAGCACAGAAAACTGATCATTTATTCAGTGTCCTTATATATTTCTGAGAATTTCAAAGTCCAATAAACAACAATCAAGAAAAGCATATCCTCTGTTTATAAATTAAGGTCTGGTACACCACCAATGGATGTCGAAGAGTAGACTTCACAGATTTCAAAGGCAGCGGTAGAGGCACTGAGGAAAGCACCTGACAGATCAGCTTTCTTATATCAGCTTCTCGCTTTAGGAAAGCGGCTTTCCTAAAGTGTTTTCATACTCTTGAAAATAAAAAAACAAAACTAAGTAAAATGTGATGCAACCATAAAATACAGTATTTCTCCCACATTTGATCTGTCTGATTAAGAAAAGGGAAGTCCAAGAGCAGCTGACTAGCACTGTAGTACATGCCATTGCTCTGACAGGCCTGGGCACTCTAAATTAGAGCCTCAAGAGATGAATTCAGCTTCCTGCTGTGTACCAATTTGCAAGGAAAAAGCATTTAAAAGTTTTTCTCCCAGCAGCTTTGCATTGTGTACTAAGTGCCACATAGCAATTACAACATCACCATTATTTCAATAAGTGTTTTAGTTTAAAATAGCAAGGAACATGTCATCAGTTCCCTTACTTTCTTCCCAATATACAGAGGAATTAGAGAAGCTGGAGCAGGAGAGATTGGCACTAGAAGCTACCATCAAAGATAACGAATTTGAAGAAGGAAAACGTGGTATCTGTGGATTCTTCAGAAAAGCCAGCAAGTTCAGTATCTCAAAACACGAAACAAAAAAGGGTAAGTTCTAAAATGAGAACTTTCTCTCCTGATCCTTCAATTCATCACACTTTCACTGATATAAAAACTGGACTTTGACTCTAGAGCCAAAGCAACAGAGCCGCAGAGAAGCCCCTGGAACAGGAGCTAACGCTGTGCATACTTGCCTTACTTGACCATGACTTGCTAACGTGGAATAGAATAAGCGTCCTCTGCTGGGAGGAGATGCTACCTTGTATGACAGAACTATTACTTCTCATTTGCTAGATAAGGTTCACAATCCTGCTTCTTCTGAAATCTATTTGTCAAAAATAGCATGTGGTTATTAATGTTAGATGGACACAGAAAAAGTCTTTTTTTTTAATAGGACATCTTTCTTTTTTAACCAGAGGCCTTTTTTCCTTTTTAAAATAAGAAATCGGGATGTATACACAACACTCAGGGAACAGGCCATCTCACTTTATTCAACATTCACACACAAAAACAGTATCCAGCTGGAAACCAGGTAAAAGCAGTAATGCAGCTCTAGGTTCCAAGCATGATTTCATTAAAAAAAAAAAAAAAAAGCACAAATCAAGGCAGTAAAAGCACCAAAAGTACACATACAGCATACTGTAAAATAACTAATGAATGCATAACCTAAACACATAGATGATGGAATCAAAATTATACATCACATGGTAAAATGACACAGAAGCATACACAGAATTAAGGGTTTCATTTCACAATTGCTAGGCTGTAATGATAACGACCCACCTGAAGCCGTGTTTGTACGCAGCCAAATATTTTCAGAATTTTCACCTGCAGAGACTATTACATCTAGCTGTGCATGCAACTCCCACAGGTATCAAGAAGATCTACAGACTAGAAACAGAAATGTCATTATTCTTTACTTGGCAGACTTCAGTTCATTTTTGCAGGTTTCAGTAGAATATATTTTTATAACAAATATGACAGAAATGTGCACCCCTGCTTCAACTACCCTTTTCGATTTAGTTCAGAAAGGCATAAAAGAAATACATATTGCACACTTTGACTCTGTATATGAGATAGATGATGTTAATAAATATCTCTGCCTCTCCATTTTCCTTATGCATTCATCCTCCCCAGAGCTGTTGCATCTTCCAGCACAGATGCTAGAACTGCAGAGGAAAGCCAGTAACGGTTTTAGAACTATCTTCCCCACAATCTAGGGATACTGGAAAACTGAACAAAACATTTTCAGAACCTAGCAGATCAGAGCAAAACCTCTAGAGAAGCCTGTCTGCTCCATTTTAAATACTGCTTTGACACTATCTCTTTGAAACCATTGAAAGAGAAGCAGTAATAAAGCCACAGGCTTCAAAAGATGGAATGGAAGATGATATTGTTAGCACATAGGCAAGAATGTACATTTTAAAGCCAGCCAAGCAAATACAAATAGCAAAGTATATTTTCAATTAACACAAAGGCCCTCTCAAGCACAAGGCAGTTGCCATATATGCTTATGTTTTCTGTCTTCTATTCTTAGCTCCACTTGTGTTCTTTTAGCTCCACTTTGTGTTCTTTATTCTTAGCTCCACTTGTGTTTTGCCCTCCGTAACTGTACATTTTAGGGACTTACCTTTTACAATAGACAGATAAGCTTGTAAAGGACACAAACATAAATTGTCATTTACTTCTAAAAATCTCTCAGACATTTCCTAACTGCTTTCTTATGTTTCAGTGAATTTTAGGTTAGTTAATAAGATCCAGAGAAGAGATAATCAGATAACTCTTTTAAAGATATTGCAATCTAATGACACAGTATTACACAAGCTCAGGAGCTTTGGTTCCTGTTGAAATTATGCGCAAAGGTATACTAAAAGTGCACAGTATCTGTGCAGTAATTTTTGCAGATTTAGTGTATGGAACATACGTCAGAAACAAGTCAGGCCCTGCACCTTCAATATCTTGTTTAAAAGCATATCTGAAATAGTGGCCTTGAAGCAAACATTTACACACCTGCTGAATTTTAAACGTGATGGTGAAATGAAAAAAACACAGATGCATGTGATAGCAATCAAAGAGGTCTTTTCCTAATTCCTCATGGGGAGTCAGGTGACACATAAAATACCATGACACATTTCTGGGAAATGTTTTCTTCTTGTTTATGAAGATATCAGCCAATTTGATTCCTGTAAGTAAATTTAACCACAGACAGAAGTGTTCACAGATTTGAGGTTTCAGTTAGTTCAATACAATTAACAATTTGTGGTGAGTATCATACAAACATGCCAGGTGATGAAAATCACCCATTGTTTTTGAATGTTACACAGATAAACATAGTTTGTTCATAAGTAAAAGGCAAACTATAGTAAAGGTAGACGAAATTTCACTAATCTTTACTCCGTTATTTTGTACCACAGAACGTAATTCCCAGAAAGAAATGAGTGAATGGGGGGGAAAGGGGAATTCTCCTGAAGCTTTATTCTCCACCTGCCTCCCTACAGCTACACGTTGCTTCACTTGTCGGAAGCCCCTCCGCATTTTTCTTTCTCATTGCAGACAGCACCATTAACACAATACAGTCAATGCACGTGGGTGAATTCAATCAAAAGCTGCTAGAAGCCAGCATTCAATTCAAAAAGAAGCAAGGAAAAGGAACAATTGATGTTTGGTGGCTCTTTGATGATGGAGGTAAGGAATTCAAGGATGAACCACAGGGAGAGAGATTCCTGTGTTACCAAACATAAAAGTGTACTCGGGAACTTGCAGGAAAATGTTAGCATTTTAATTGCTAACATTGTGGTCACCTTTCTGTCTGGCTTAAATATTTTAAGATAAACTTACGTCCAACATGGCCAATGTGAAGGATGGGGGTTTGTTTCTACCATACAATGCACTAATTTGATCTCCCTGCTATTTTATATATTCCTCCAGGTCTAACAATCTTAATTCCTTACATTCTAACTATCAGGAAGAAGTGGAAGAGTTGCAAATTAAGGATCTTTACTGGAGGAAAAGTCAACAGGATTGAAGAAGAAAAATTGGTGTAAATATAACTATTTTCATTCACTGTTTGAAGAGCTTGAATTGATGTTGAATATAATGCATGTATAGCAGAAAGCTGGGCGTTCTCAGCACAACTGGTTTGTTGTACTGTGGACAGTACGAAAAAATGATGTACTTCATATAAAGGTGTTGAACTCATGGCATGGCCCTCAAGGATCAGTGTAAATGGTGATAAGTGCAGGAAGTTCATATCCAACAAATTTTCTCATTAACAGATCATATTCCCTTCTCTGAGAAAAATGCTCCGCAGTCTTTAATGAAAATATCATTAGTTGTGTGAGATTTACACGAGACTGTCTAGTTAACAGTAAGTAAAACTGCATGTGAAGCTTCTCAGATGCACATACTATTAAACAGATAGCCCATATAAGCGTGATTAATCTTGGCAAACATTAAAGAACTTGAGATTAAGTTGATTTTACTTAGCTCTTCTAAAAAGTGCACATTTCCTAATCATCATTTGCCTTCAGGCAAAACAAAGGTGCTACTATAAGTGATCATCACCGGTATATATAAGACTTTTTCTTCCAAAGCACTTTATATACTAGAGCAATAGCCATTTCATCACCTGTGGAAAAACAGGCAGCTTGGAAAGGAACTCAGGAACTGCATAACTATGCAGCGAGTTAAAAACAACATATTTAATTAAACTTCAGTGGAAAACAACCAAGATGGGTGCAAGGACAGGAATTAGAATTTAGCCATTATCAACAGGATTACAACGTAGCGCCTCATGAAGTCAGCTTTCCACAGCAAAGCTTTCATGAGCTTGTGCTTTCACATAAGGCATAAAGTTTATTGTTTCACGGGTCTCTCCTCAGTCTGTTGTGGCACAGACCGTGTAAGAATTACCTGGAAGTTCCCACGCTTAGGTAGAAGAGATTTACAAGTGTTTGGACAAACCATTCTGATTAAGAACAGCTGTGCCAGCTCCTGCAGGGGCTGAATGAGAATGCTCTCTACTCCAATGCTGCCAGCAATCTGCCCGACTCTACACTGCTGTTTCTACAAAAGCCAAATTCTCATCCTGAGCGAACAGCGTTGTCAGTATAGTTGACAATGACCTAGTTTGTCACCAGGAAAAACAAATATATACATTTGTACCTAAACATTGGTTTTCCTCAGCAGAATATTCTATGCATGAATACACAGCAGCCTCAGAAAGACAAATCCGGAGGGCAGTTAGCTATTCTGTTTCCCTAGAGAAACCTGGTATAAGAATATCCAAGTACAATTCCATCCATTGTATTTGTCAGTTCAGAAATAAAATTAATCTAGACTTTTGCTTATGTGTAATTCCCCAGTATCAAACCTTCCCACAGAAGCTGAGACATTGCTGCTCTTCATGTTCAAAATACCTACTCTCCCAAGAGACTTCAAGATTTATATAAACATTGCATTCTTTTTATAAAACAAAACCAAATATAAATTCTCAGGTCATAAGCAAAAATGAGTTTCTAGGAACTTTCTGACCTTTTCAAACTCCAAAGTTTACACATACACACACAACTTCCCAACCATACTTCACCCAAATGCAGAACTGATCTAACCTTCCGCAATCTGAGCACAAACACACACAAAACTCTAAAGTATTCCTCCTGATGACTGGTTAAAACTTTTTCTTTTTTGAAAAATACACAAAGACAACATAAAAATGAATCAATATAAACTCATACATGAAAAAAATATTTGTGTATTACACATCAACTTTCGAGATCAAATTTTCACCAATGCATATACTACCAGTGTTGTACGTACTCTTGTGCATAAAATTTGTGTAATAACAGAATAATAGAAATCTTCATTAAGTATTGGGGAGCTCTGTCCTACAGAATTGAATTTAATACATTCAATACATTAATAGATTCCTTTATATTTCAAGTCTTTGCAAATATTTGATAATTTGCAAATATTTGCAAGTACCTTTTTTCCTAAAATGTAAACACCGTTCCCTCTGTCCATTTCTTATTTCAGTTGTTTTTTATTTTCATTGATCCTCAGTTAAATGAGTTATACTACAGCAATCATACCAATCCAGTTGTGTAATTGGAAACTGAAACACTAACTAAAGCATTTAAAGTAATCTGTCATAAAGATAATGAGACAATTGCATTTGACATCGTAATTCATTTATGAGTGCTCTTTGAATCAAGGCACTCAAAAATATAGTGATGAAATGTTCTCTCTTTTATTTTCAGGATGGCTTCACTTCTAAGTAAATTCAGAATAAAATTTGCTGACATTAATATTGTCTGTGATATCAATATGAAGCCCAGCAAAGAGAGGTAAGAAACATTACCAGAATCCATTATTTAGCAGCAGCCCTTTATCAGGTGCTTGTTTCTTTCATAGGGATCATAAAAAATATCAAAGGATAATAATATAGTGATTTTATTGCAATCATTTTCCAAGAATCTACAGCGGGGGAGGGGGGGAATCCTCTTAAAAAAAAAAATCACAATTCAAAGGGTCAAAACTATAGGCAGACTTCTTTATGTTGTAATGGTAAGACTTAATTTTCATACAAAGACTAATTAGACACCATAGTTATGAGTCACTAAATTTCATGGGCATCATTTTATGATGGCTTTTCATATCCATTTAAGTTTCAATAGCCTTCATTTCATCATACTGTTCCGTCACAGTTCTTCTGTAGACCTGCTCTCTCAGCCAACTCAGTCTTCTAGGTTTTATCATGCCAGGCATTCAGAAACTTAACATTTTTCAGGCCAAATGCATGCACACTCCTCTTTCCCATGAGGACAACATTACAGCACTCTCCCATCACTCAAACATAATGAAGGTTCAACTTCATATTTTTTAAAAGTTAACTTATTGGCAGAGCGCTCTTATGCAATGACAAGGAAGTTGGAAACACAGTACTCTGCTTCATCTCCAAGCATATTAGATAATTTCAGATCTGTGCCTCTATTAAACATTTTGCTCTTCACAGCATATTAAAAATAATGTGGCCTTCAGTTTCCTCGTTTGTTAGGGTTGTATTTTGACACTTTAGATGATGATATCTTCCATACACATGGTACAGACAGCCCTTGTTTCAAAGTCTAGTGTAGAAAAGCCCAGTATGGCAGGCAAAGGCACCTTCTCTCTTTTGCTAACATGAGGAGCGTTCCCTTATCTCTGGATTTCTGTTTCTGTGCAAAGTAGGCACTGCAGGTCATCCAAAGTCTTCAAGACTACCTGCTTTCAAAAGCATGACTATAGAAACAGATTATTTATTCTGCCTTATTTAGAGAATACAGTACTTTGCTCAGGGAGCAACTGAATCATAATGCAATTCACAGTATCGCTTTTGGTCTTAAAGATCCTCTGAAAACATTCCT